TTCACTTAAGTTCATTCACAAGCTCATCCATGGCATTATTGACTCCAGTGTCATCTTAGAACAACTTAACTTCTTAATTCCTAGACTAGCGTCACGAACTAGTTTAACTTTTTACTTAGCCAGGCTTAGGACTGACATACTTAAGTTTTCCCCTATATATATAATGTGCCGTAATTATAATTCAGTTATTAGCGTTTTAGATATATTTTCGTTTTGTGCGAATTTGGGAGACATTAATGCTTATTTTCGTTAATGCTTGCTGGTGTGATTGTTGAGTGCTGGGTAGGTAAAGCTAGAACGCTTTTTTTCCTCCCAGTTCTGTTTTGAGGTTTTTTTTTGCAGCGTTTTAGCTTTCTCTACATACATCCACAACATGCATTTGTTTGCATGCATGAGTTTCAAGCGATGTATGATTTGAACAAAATGTAATGCTGACAACGTTCACAAATATTCTTTAAACACCCTTCAAAAATTTGACGGCATTGTGGGGGTACTGTTAGTGTAAACGTTTTAATAATTATCGTCAACCACATCCATTTAGCGTACAGTTGATTATCAGTTAGAATAACCAATGGTTTTGAGACCCTGTTAACGGATGTTTGAAGAATATTTTTACATATTTGCAACATTAGATGTTTTATCATGATGTCTATATGATCAAAACCAGCATCTTTGGAGAAAAGTTCATGGAGAGCTTTTCAGTTAAGAAAGTCTGTTGATAAAATTGTCCAAACAGTTCTTGACAAATTTTTCTATCCGATTTGGTAAAAAACCTTTCTGAATTAGATTATACATAAAAATCGAATTAGAAAATACTTGTCATACAGGGTGTAAGCGTTATGGTAGTCATTATTTAAATGGGTGATAGAGGGGGTTAAAAGGAGCAAAAAGTTTCATATAACATGGGGGTCGAAACGGCATTTTTTTAGAGCACAGCGACTTTAAAGTAAAATAAAATCTGACAACACCGCAATGCCAGATGCAAATTACGACGGAACGCAGTGTGAATAAAGATTGAGTTTGTTATTTTTAGCTCTTAGCTATTATTTCATTATTTGATAATGTACTCGTAAAATGCAAACAATAAAAAAACGGGATTTTCAATGTTTTTGTGCCAAAACCACTGACAGAATGTTAGTCTGCGAGGATAGTCTTCTGATAACAAGGCCTGCACTCATTGTACATGGTAGGGATAGAGCAAATTTTCCCGTAGGATTCTATGGATGCGATAGTCCTACGCGGCGGCCAATTCCCGAGAGCTGATATCTTCATTGATTTCCACGATATTTAAAATTTGTTTCTCCTGCACTGCAGTAACCTGTCTTTCACGAGTGCGAATATTAGTTGGCTGAACACTTCCTGTATCTCGAAGTCTTGGTACACTTGCACAAATGTCCTTCTGTCTGGGTGTACTCGTTGGCGAAATCTGTCGCGATAAATTTGAGCTGCAAGATTTGAATTCTGTAAATCAAGACGACGACGTACGCGAACAAAAACAAAACAACACACTAACCACTATTACCGTTTGCGATCGACTGCTGGTTCGATAAGAGTGATTATGACCGACGCGCTGTTTTCATGTGTTTTAAATATTGAATTTAATGAAACTTACTTAGTTACTGACTACAAATTTTGGATTAACTTAGAAAAACTTAATGCCATTTATTTGTTAATTACTCATTTTAAAACGTTTTAGATTAGATTATAAAAACTAGTACGATTGTGGTGATTGTGGTCGATATAAAGCAGTTAAAGTTATAAACTATGAAGCCATTTAGACAAAAATCTATTGACCTTTGGACCATGGGTTATACGAACTTTTTGACTTGTTTGACGTTTACACCCTGTATGCTGAAAAATCGCATTGTTTTTCAATGTATGTTGAAGGCTGTGCACTTCCTTCTCTTGATTAAGGCATGCAGCATTTCCGAGACCGACAAAAAGAACGCATTCAATACCAAGAGATCATGCGTTAACAGTGGATAGTGGTATCATTTGAAAAAATTTCGAAAGTGTCTCACAACGAACGATTCCATAGTGTTTGCAAATAATGCACTTGATAAACAGTCAGCTTTTTTATCGCTTTGCGAAACTGCATTCCGCATTTTTGATGTTGATTAAACTTGCGCAACTTGAATGTTCTCATGAAGAATATAAAATACCACAAAAAGATAAACAAAATCGAGCCAATAATAATTTGGAGACATTTTTTTGTGTTATCAATCCGAGTATCAGGCAATGCTATCAAAAGTTGCCTAATAGTCTAACCGATTTACAGTGACGTGTCTTTACGCGTATACATTAATCGTCTACGTTTCGATATAGACAATGCCTAGAATGCATACAATAAGTTTACAATGTATACAACGGTGTAGACTGTAGGCATTTTACAGAAATGATGTTAGGTTTACTTTACTGCTATTGTCTACATAAATACCCAGACGTATACAATTACAGTTATGTATATACGCATATACAATAGTGTATTTAGTTTACATATACAATTCGCCTATCACTGCCCACTTATTAAGCGTGTCCAATAGCACTCTCAATACGGCATTGTAAAAATAAGACTCCGGATACAAGGGTTATAGATGTGTTCTTCGAGTAACTTTATTAGATCATTATTTGCGTCTTTTCACCGTAAGTAGCCAAGCATTTAGATAGCCTCAGACCACCATAGTTAGGTGCGTACATGCCGTTGTGTGCCCGTGTACATCGTGTGGTATGCGTGGCTATGCGTCACGTAAGTGCTTGGCTCTCCACGGTTTAAACATGACCAGTGGAGCTGTAACAGTTGTAATATCACACAGAATAAAATTTAAAACTTTGTCGGGATGTTTTCCTTTGCTAGGAAAACAAGAAAGGACAAAACAAATTTGGGAATATATGTGCTGTGAAATAACATTATTCTTATAATTAATCAGATTGGATGGTAATATGTATAAGGATATTTTTTGAAGTACTTTCGAAGATGCGGATAATGATTTTCTTCTTAAAGACTCAACGCATTTCTCGATAACATTTTAGCTGAGAAATCATATTCTAAAAGATTTGCACGCCAACAAGGGACACCCTGTATATTACAAACAAATCGGTTTCTCCGTACAGTGGTCGGTGACTTGTCGGTAACAATATCTGGGATCCGGCCTTGTAAATTCTGTCTATATGGCGTAGCAGAGGGTAGTAGGATCTTGGGGACGATCACTGACAGGTTGGCGACAGCTGTACGAATAGGGCTAACGTGTACGTGACTTGCTAGAATTAATTTTACTTTTTCACTGAGAAATAATACTGTTTTTGTGTCTGGCCATTAGTTGTGTAATGAATAAAGCATCTGGCATCAACAAACTGACTGAAGCGCCTCACGACACTACTTATCAGATACAGATATTATATCCGACAAAGTTGGCCAAGTGCCTACCAATGTGTGAATGCCCTTTTTTCCTCGCTCCGACACAGCATATCATATCAAGTTGAGAGCAACGTTGGTTCCAATGCGTTGGCCCCATGTCTGGACGCAAATTTCTTCCCTGCAGTGTTTTCATGTTTTTCAGTATAGATATCCATACCCTGTTACCTATATGTGTTTCTTCTTACCAGCAAACAGGTGTTAGGTGACATCATTTTTAGGCAGCAGCGGTGGCCGCAGTGGTAGAGCCTTCGGTCTCCTGATCAGTCGCCGTGCGCGGGTTCGATCCCGTCCCAAGAGACAATTTTTTCTTGGCGATGGATGTTGTGATCGTCCGTAGGTGGTAGACGGTCTCTGACTGTCGAACGCAGAGGTACCACCCGGCGGATCTTGTAGGCGGATCCAGAATGTGTGCATGTTCCATTCTCACGTGTTCCCTCGCCAGAATCCGTGCGGCGTTCCCCCGTTCACCTGTATCCCCCTATAGCCCCACGGTACCCCATGGGTGTTCAGGCCTTAGGCCTTCGTGGTAGTCGGAATATAAAAAAAATAGAAAATTTGTCATGCTGTCTAAACATCAATGTTATTTGCAGAGTTTTATCGTGGGTAAGGCGTTAGGTTTGATCTATGAATTTTGTACTTTGTTACAGAACCTGAATCCTTCTCGTTCAAATGTTGCTGACGTGCAGGGTGTTCATTTAGAAATTTCCCACCACGGATTGATCGAAATCCACTGATTAAAAGAAAAAACTCCGAGACATGTCAAAGAATTTATCCAGGAGGACAACTTCTCAACCAAAAACTACTTCATCCCCTTTCACCCTTAGCCCCCAGGGTCAATCCCTTAAAAGGGGAAGGTAGAGGGGAGGAGAGAGGATATCCGTGTTGATGAAAGGAATGCGGAAAAAAATTCGGGTTGTTATTTGGTTGTTACCACGTCTAATTTCCGAATTGCTGTATATGTTGGTAGTTTCCGTTTTAAATTATAAACGAATTGTAGATTTGACAAACCTTAACGGCAACATTTTGAACACTTATTGAAATTAAAAGTGATACTTTCGTGTATTTTGGTTTTCTATCTGAACAAATTAAGATAAGTTAAGATTTTTCTAACTTTCTTGAAAAACGAATCAAGCGGTTTTGAAAAATCGAATGTGAAAATAAAGGAGTTCGAAAGACCTTTAAAACAAGCTATTACTCGATACCCCTTGTCATTCAAAACTTTTGAAGAGATGGCCCTGGGGCAGCAAGGGTGAAAGGGCAGTTTTTGGTTAAAGAGTTGCCCCCTTGACAAATCTTTTAACGTGTCTCGGCGTTTCTTCTTTTTAATCAGTTGTTTTCGTTAAATCCGTGGTAGAAAGTTTACAAAAGAACACCCTGTATAATATATATTTTAAAACATCATAGGAAATACGAAACTGACTGCTTCATCCGAATTAGGATAAGCCCGAATAGTGTTTGAGGAAAATTATCAAACTTATTTCAAGAAGAATGTTTTTTAGTATTGAAACCTGCAGAACCTCATCCACGCCTCTGTTTGTTGTCTGGATATCAGCTTTATAAGTGAATTGTAACCTCCTTCGCAACAGTTTGTGATGAAATGATCTTGATTCATTCATATAAAGTAAGGTGGATCTGAAGGGGTGAGTTTTTAGTGCAGATTTTTTATAAAAAAGTTTCTGCAAAAAAAATTGGCGATGAAGTGTTCTCTTTTGGAAAGCGTCTCATACCAAAATATGTGCTACTTTGTAATGGAATACCTCAGATTTAGAATTGTCCGTCCAATGTTGTTTGATAAGTTTAAGCTAGCATGATGCATCTTCTTTGGCAGAATGGCACATTTTCCGAATAAGGAAAAGTACCAAATTAAATAATATTCCCAAAAAAATATTTTTCAACCAAATTATCAGTGTAGCTCTTGTGTTTGATCACAATTTCTCAGACCGAAAATTTTCACAGGTCTTGTGAAATTTTAATTAAATAGACTGCCTTGTTCGCCAAATAATCTCTAACATTTCCTTGAAGTTTTACGAAAAATTCGATATTTTCAGGTATTATTCCATTTTAACTAGAAAAACTAGTTTTTACCATGAATATTTGTGAAATTAAATAAAATACGTCCATTTTTTTCATCTTAATCTTCAATTGAAACTTAGAAATTATGTATGAAAAATAATAACAGTCAAATGTTCGCCTCTAGAAGCCGCGCAAACTTGAGCCCTCTTGATTACATTTTCCATCACTTTTTGGTAAGTTTCGGGAGGAATATTTTCAATCGCTTTCGTAATATTTTTCGTCAGCTGCCTTTAAGTCCGGTGACCTTGGTGGGTAGTTGACATCACCAAATCGAGAAATTAAACGTCCCAGAAATATTGCTTACCAAACGATTCATGCCACATGCTTTGAAGGTTAAACTGTTTTTCACTATATCACGGTAGCGCTCGCCAGAATTACCTGAAGCGTCATCAAAGAAGTAAAGTCCAATAATAATAATAATAATAATAATTTTTATTGGAATGTTTATACATAAAAATATAAAAACGACAACATTCCAAAAGGAAAGAGGATTGGCAGGGCCATTTTTCATCTCCGCCTAAAAAGTTAACTTCATGAGCGTTTTTAACATCAACAGAATTCACAACATATATTATGCACAACACAGTATACTTCGACTTCGAAGTTGAGTCATTTATTTTAACAGTGAGCAGATCTGATCAAAATAAATGTTTTTTCCTTTAACATTTTTGTGGTAAAATTAAAGTAACAAAGTTATAGCCCTTTAGTAGTACCGCCCTGTCTCAATAATAATATTATGTGCTCGTGTTTGGCAACAACGGATATACTCCGCCTTATCGGTTCATCGCATCGGAAACAAAAAAGCGAAAGAATTTGAAACGCTGATCACGATGTTTCTATTCAGTCAGTCGGTAACGCGTGAGTGAATAGTGGTGTTTGCTGCGTGGCTCAAATGAAATAAAAAATGGCACATATTTATGCGGATCGGTTTCCCAATCGAGTGCAACCAACCCCTCGTGCCTTTGTTAATGTAGTACAATGGGCTCGTGAATCAGGTGACTTAAGACCTCACAGGGGAGGGCATGCCGGTGCTCCAAGACCTCACGATCAAATACAGGTCCGCACTGAAATACTTGTCGGGAGGATACTTTATAAAACAAGGTAAAAAAAAATTTTAATTTTTTTTTATTTTTACACGCATATTTTGGTTTATCTTCCTTCTACAATCATTATCTGAAAATTAATGACTCAACTTCAAAGTCACCCTGTATAATACGATGTAGTCTGAGTGTTAATGGAGGGTAGTGTAGCAAGCGCCGTAAATTTAATTTGTGGATTCAAATCTTTGCAGCTGTAGTAGCACTTTTTCCATCTCATTCCTGAAATTTTGGATGGAAGGTGCTTCAAAAAGTTCTAAATTATCGTTTAGTAGATATCGTGCCGTGTAAGTAAAACATTTTTTGAATTTAGATATTGTATGAACTGGAATATTGAAGTATTCATTGTTGCGTAAGGAAACTTTACGGAGTGAACATCTCTTCTCTAAAGCAATAAACAGATGTCTGGGTAATTTATGTTTTAAAACTTTATACAGTAGAGTTCCATACTGAAGTAATACACGATACTTGAATTTTAAAAGATTTTCTCTCACATAATATCCAGTAATATGTTCTTGTATATGTATATCTTTGAAACAGAATCTCATGCAGCAGTTTTGTAATACTTGAATTTTGTGCTTCATTCCTTCCGTCAGAAATTTATAATATACTGTAGCGTCATAGTCTAGGTGAGTGAGGATTAGTGCATTGGTAAGCCTTAATTTTATATCGCTGGTTAAAACATGTTTGTATCTCCAAAGTGACTTGTATTTACAATAGCATACTTGAAGCTTATTAATGACATGGTTCTCAATTATTAAATTTGTGTCCAACAAAATGCCTAAATTCTTGGTCTCCTGACACCTCTATACCAAACACCGCACCAAACTGTGACTCGCGAGGATGTAGTGGTCGTTGATGGTTAACACAAGGGTTCTCTAATGCCCAGATACGACACTTCTGCTTATTAACAAATCCGTTCATATCGAAGTGACCTTCATCGCTCATTATCAGTTGTCGGTTAGAATCGTTATTTTGGGTATTAAGCTGCAATATTACATAACTGTATTGTCGGCGACTCTCATGGTCACTAGGCTGTAGTCCTTGGATTAACTGAATTTTGTATGGCCGCAAATGCAAGTCTTTTTTTTTAAATAGTGCATAATGATGTGCGACAAATACCCAGTTCTTGAAAACGATGTCTGGTAGAAGTCTCAGGGCACTCCACTACACTGTCACGAACTCTCCTGATATTTTCCGGAGTACGAACAGTTCGAACACGGCCCGACCTTGGCAAGTCTTTAACTTTTCCTGTTTATTGAAATTTCCGCACCAAATGACGAATGGTGTTGACACTGGGCACGTTATTTCTATCGAAATCTTGTCGTAGCTTCCGAATCGTTGCAACATCGACTCATTACTTAAGTAAAACATTTTAACAATACGGACACGTTGTGGGATCGTGTTTCACTCCATGATGAACTGGACACATGTGCATTAAACAACTACTACTGTGCCACCTACTGAATTTTGGGTATCAAAAAAAGCGCGCAATTTAAATCAGTCAGTTACATATTGGCCACCCTGTAGATTTGTTTAGAAATCTTAATATATACAACTTGAAGGGCAATAGAACGCAACCACAAAAAACGTTACTGCCGTCCCAAAATCAATATTCAATATATTTCTTGGAATATTGGGCAAAAAGACTCGTGAATCCATAGCTTGTAAAGGTTGATCCATCTGTTGGTCAATTTTTAAATCGATGGTTAAAACGAAAACGCAGCGTTCTATTTCCACACGGGTTCTTTTATTTAAGAGTGCTGTCCTTCCGGTTAATGATGAACACAATCTCATTCATATGCGCGCCACACGGCTTAGCTTGACTTAGCCGATTCTGTCGATACAACTTTTCAGTACATTTTCCAAAGTCTGCTGCATTATCTCACCAATTGCTGCATGAATATTGGACTTCAAGTACTCAATCGTCGCTGGGCATTTACATAGCATTTATCTTTTACGCTTCCCCTCAAAAAATAATCCAACGGAGTTAAATCGCAGCTTCGCCACATCACCAAAACGGCTGACTACCGATTTTCTAACGGTTCTTGAAGAAGAACGATTGTTTCGCGGCTTGAGTGGCAGGTTTTTATCGGTTTCCGGAGAGAAATCGTTAGTCAGCATGCTCCGATAGTGCACACCAATGACCGTGACGCCGCGTCCTTCATCGTCTTCGAAAAAAAAAGGGCCAATAATGCCACCAGACCACAAAGCACACCAAACAGTCACGCGTTGTGGATGCAATGGCTTCTAGGTAATTTCATTTGGCTATTCTGAGTGTACCAAATATGGCAATTTTGCTTGTTGACATAGCCACTAAGATGAAAATGGGTCGCATCCTAAAAAATCACTTTTCGGTAAAAATGGGGGTCCTCGTCCAAACGTTCAATTTTTAGCGCTTCCTAACGTTGTTCAAGCGTATATCGATCTACAATCGTTCATTGCAGACTCTTTACTAAATTCCTGTCAAAACAGAACTGATGTAAGTGTTGCCATCCGCGAGATAAGCCCTAAAAATAACCAACAGATGGATCACCCTTTATTATACACAAGCGTTAGGTATGGAAACTGAATACAGTTCACTTTGCTTCTAGGCGTGTCGTATCTGGTGGTACCTTCGGCTGTTGGGAAGAAATTAACTTAACCGATGATAGAATAAAAACTTTGATGATGTTTGTTTTCGAAAGGATGTATCTGAACCGCTGCAGCCAACAAACCTTTAGGAAGTTGAGGGCGAACGCCAAGAAGAATTATTCGATATCTAGGGGTCTAGAGCTACATGCTGACAGGTAAACAAGCTACAAATGGAATAAGATCTAACGTTAGGTCGGTAGAAATATACGAATTCATTTCAGAAAGGAAAAATTTACCTTCTTAAGAGAAATATGTTCACAAGCTTGAGTTACCGAATATTTCTCCTGTTTCTGTTATTTGCGCCGAGCTGGATCATGAGAAAAATACTTGACTTTCTTCCAGAATTATGTCCATGGCTCAGGAGAGGGGTCACCCATCATTAGTCAGAACTCCTTTCTTTTCCACAGACGAAAAGGAAGAATTCATGGCCATATTTCCGGATATTATCAAAGATCTTACGAAGAATAATCAATACGCAGACATATCAGAAGTCAATGAAAGGTAAGTTTTATTTATATTTATGATGCTTGTGTAATCGGTCAAAATCCGTAAACAATAGTTTAAAGGTGCAAACATAAAACTTCTTATCATCTACTCCTATCATTTTTATTCTGTGTGATTAATCGAATTGTGGATGTACCAATAACTTATATTTAAACACACTTCAGTGTAGACTTTTGTTTACAGAATAGGCAAATTGTTGGAATACAACCTTCTTAAGTGTAGAAAGACCTGGGGATTATGGGCTACAGTTTCTTATAAAATGTTTGAAAATCCTGAAACCTTGACAGCTGCCAATGTTAAGCTGGCTAACATTCTAACGTGGTGCGTACAAATGGTAAGTGTTTTGAAGTTTAAAGTAAATGTTCTACAATAGCCGTACTTGAGCAGTAATTGTCTCTCTTCGGGAACATTTGATTTTACTTTTCACGCTAACTGGAATTTTGCTTTGAATTTGTGATTTGTATGATATACAGTGAATGCCTTGAAGCAACAGCAATATTTCTGAGGCAGAAAGTATATATGATGTACCATTTTAACCCAGACCTAAATGCTTCGAAAACTGTGCATTCTAGAGAAAAGTTTCAAGCAAAGGTTGAAAGGGTTTTGAAAGTTCAAAATGATGGTAATCTGGACCTCAGCCTCAAGGACAAGTGAATACTTCCAAATCGAAACTGAAGAAAAGGAGATAATTTTACGTCCAAATAACTCCTTGGCCATGACTATCAAGGTCATTTCAATGTCAGACCAAGGCATTTAAAACAATTTGCTTCAGCAAAAACGTTCGACAGCACAGGTATGAGGGTTGTGGGGCCCACCCAAACCTTGAACTTGTCCGTGACCTTGACCGTGTGGTCAACTCAAGATTTCCAAAGAAAACATCTCATTTCTATACCAGGAATGGAAATGCATGAAAGTTTACGTCTGAATGTAACGCGGAGCTCGAATAACATTTAAGCTTGACACGACCTTGACTTTCAGGTCAAGATTACATTCAGACGTAAAATTTCCTTCTTTGTGGTCAAGCTTCCTTTTGGGTGATCCCCACAAACCTGACAACTGCTAACGTCACGGTGATAGTCATATTCGGACGTAAACACTTCTCTTTTCAAGTCCCATACAAAAAAGGGGAAAGGGGTGCTGTAGATGAAAATATCGACTTGACCTTGGAGGTCCTTGTCAAGGTCATTGACAAAGTTACTAAAAAATTTTCAGGTAGGCAATTAAAACGTCCAGTATACAGTGTTTTTCAAAAAGGTCCCCCCGTCAGTTCGCCTGATGATGATTTTTTAGATCTAGGACTATAAGAAGCTTACATAGAATAATAACATTCCAACTAGCCTACGTTTCTTGTTCCCTCTATCGAAGACATATATTCCATAAAAACTTGTCATCAAAGTTTAAGGTAGAAGATTTCAGAAAACTTGCTACTCAACGGGTCATTTTATTCACATTATTTTGGGTTTCTGACTACATTAATCAAAGAAACACAAATGATCGTCGGTCATGAGACAAAAAAACGGCACTAAGGATCATTCAAAATCATCATTTTCCCTTTTCATGCCACTGAAAGTTCAGAACACGTTTTTCATCGAATAATCTTCTGGTTGAAATGTTTCTGAAGATTATCATCAGGGTACCTCAGGGTTGTGGGTTAATGAAAGCGAGAACGAGTTTTTTAACACTTTCACTAAGGGGACAGAAATCCAATGGATTTATACCGACAACTGTTATACGTGTTGTTATTTTCCAATATATCACGTACAATTCTCTGTGTAAAACTAAATTATCTCCAGCGTATTTTCAAAGTAGGAAGGAAATTTTATGCGGATTTCTCTCTAAAAGGGGTATGCGAGAGGTTTGTGTAGAGACACAACTTATGTATATCAAATAATCCAAAAATGTTAGAGGCGCAGAAAAATTTTTTCATGATCTGTAGTCAGAATGTTCCAGTTTGTACGCTCTTGTTGTAGTCTGGAAAATAAAGGTTATTGTATCTATTGGTTATTCTGTTTGTACTATACATTCAAAACATTAGCTCTTGAATTCCCAGAATCACCTGTAGATGACAACACTTTATTCTTTTTGTTCTCTGTCAACACTGACTATACGTCTATGACGTCGAATACAACTACAAGTGCTTCGTAATTGGAATTCTGTAAATTTCTTGCAATACAGAGTGGAATGAAGGGGTCACAGTAACGACTGGGCTATCAAACTCGAACTGAGATCTTTAAAGTTCCAACCGATAGCTGCTTTACAGGAGAAACTAAACTTGTCTGAAGGCTTGAGCTCAATGTGCACGAGAGAGAAGGTGAGAAATGCGTATCAACATATGTTAGAAAGAGATAGAAGCCGGCATAAGAGCGAAGGTCATCTCCACATTGTCTAGCAACGGTCACGCAGAAGGTCGAGGAAACTGCCGCGTTGTCAGCATCTTATACCAGAAAATGTTTGCATAGGCTTCTACAATAGGTTAGGTTACTGTCAAACCTAAGAAGGGAGTCAGTTTGAACATTTAATATATTTTGTTTTCATTTTGTTTAGAATAATTTATCTCAAGTTTGGTGTGACATAGTGCTTTAATTTATTTTAGAATTTGTGTGTTGTAACAGTAAATACAATAACTTTTTCAGTGGCGGGGCGCTTTTACGATATTCGACGACTTGATGGACAATTCGGAGTTCAGATACGGACATCCTTGTTGGCACAGAATGGAAGATGTAGGAATTGCGGCTGCGAATGATGGATGGCTGATGGACTCCTGTATCTACACGTTGCTGCATAAACACTTCGGTGACAAGAAATGTTACAGGCATATCACTGACGTGTTTCGTGATATCACTACCAAGGCGACTATGGGTCAAGCTTTAGACATGATGTGTAAGAATCGAGACGGGACGCCACGTTTGGAAAATTTCAACATGGACCGATACAAGTACGTTTTCCGTTTGCTTGTACGGCTCTTCAACAGTTTCCATATTGGAAAGTTACATCAAATGACGCCTTAATGATAGGCAATCCGAAAGCCCTAAGCGTTTTAAACCCTGGTTTTAAGCAAGAAAAGAATGCCTTCCTTGAACAACATTGCAGAGGCGCAGAGCCATATGAGTATTATGGAAAGAATCGATATAATGTCATTAAAAATCAGTATAATGGCTTTAACTAAGTAGCATATTCCACGCCTACTCGCTGTAAGAGCCCGACCTATGGAGAAATGGCTCAACGACCAACTTGTCTGTAATGCTGCAACTCACATTTCTCTAGCATGCTTTGTATGTTGCAAGCTGTCGAGGTAGTCAATAGACACTTGTGAACAAGTTGTGATGGTGAAAGTATAGTAGAGTGTTAGGAACGCATCTGAATGATTGCGTGATTTGTGCATCTGTACAGAATTAGTGTTATCTGATCATTGATACTTACGCTATGTATTGTTACCACAGCGAACATAGAATTTTGTATGAACAACGGCTGATATTTGGGGCTTTCCAAATATAAAATACTTCCCATTGTACGACTTCTCACTAGGATATAGTAGGGTGCATCTTACTCTACTTTAGACAATTTGTCTGTAGTCTATTTTCTCATCTCATAACGAGGTATTTCCTTTCTTCACCTCTCGCATTCTTGATATGCGGCATCTTAAGTAAACGTATTTGCGACAAGAAACCAACAGACTCATCATTAACACAGAGTATTAGGGGACTAATGGACACTGTGCACTGCAGTCTCTCCTTCTAGCTATCGTACAGATTACGCCTGAGAACCGTGATGTTTTCACACGAGGTCGGTTTCGTCCAGTAACAGGCGGTTTTTGATTTCTTCAAAATCGACATACTGCTGGGTCCTTCAAAGTTTTATTCAATTCATTGCGGAACAGTGAGGAAAGCAAAACACAACACTTGAACAAAAACGTAGTACAGGCACGTATTTACTCTCCAGTGGCAGATCCAAGACTAGAGGTTGGGCCGTGCGGAGCACGCCGGAGCATGCGAAAGCTCCGAGAACAACAATAGCCCTTCGCAGAGTAGTCCGGTGTGGAGGCCGCATGTCCAGCGCAGGGAAATCTGGGGGAATTTGAGCGCCGCGAGGCGTCTGCGCTGTGCGGCGCATGCCTGATATTGTGTGGAAAGACTCATCTACTCCCATATTCCAACGCCGCGCGATGCGAACCAGATCGTGTGAAAGGAGCTTTGGTATGCAATGGTGCCATTTCCTTTTTTTATATACGTATATACAATATACATATCGAAGCAGCCGCGCAGGCAGAAGCTTAAATGCCGGAACACCGCGGCTGCTATGGTGATCCCAAAAAAATTTTGTTAATACGATTTTTGAACTGCCTGAGGTTGGTAAAACTGGGAGCTTCCACAATCTTGACACCCTCCGGACAAAGGCGCGGTCGTATCGGCTAGTTCTGGATGTACGAAGTTCGACCCGGCTAGGATGTAGTTGGGGCGGCAGCACCCCACACTGTGAGCAATACTCGAGGCTAGGTCTTAGCTAGGCCTTGTATATATTGAGAAGGTCATGCGGAGAAAAGTACTTCTTAGCCCTAAACAAATAGCCTAGCTTTTTCCCATCAGCTGCCGCTATTGAGGAGATGTAAGTATAAGTGCCAGATAACTCGGCCATACATCTAAACCGGATGAGGGCTGGGACGCATTTTGTTCGTCAAAGTACAGTACTGTGATTTGGAAGCATTAAGCTGTTCAAGATTGTTGCATCCCCAAGCAGTGCTAGCCTCCAGGTCTCTTGTCAGAGATGAAGTCGTCGCTAGTCTTCTTTTTTTCCAGCTCAGCGGCAGAGATCGTCTTGTCACTCTGAATTCCTGCATGTAGAGTACTGTCATCAGCGAAGCTGTGGATTGTGTTGGGAACACCCGCGTTGACGTTGTGGGGTGAAGAGGAGATCCCGTCAATTACGACGGATATCTTGCGGCCAGAGATAAAGTCAGCCACCCATCTGCAAAGCTTTTCTGGGAAGCCATAGGATGGACATTTGCTTAGGAGGGCAGCGTGCCACTGCTGATCGAATGCTTTTGTGATGTCAAGAGCAACGACATGGGCCTCATGGATGAGCTTACTCCACAATTGCGTGACGTAGAGTAGGAGGTCCCCGGTGGATCGTTGGTGCCGGTAACTATACTGCCTGTCGCTAATCAAGCTGTGATGTTTAAGGTAGTCCAGAAGTTCGCGATTTATGCACCTCTCCATCACCTTACTTATAACAGAAAGCAGATCTATAGATCTGTAGTTGTAAGGGTCGGTCTTAGAGCCTTTTTTTGGGATGGGCATGAGCAAATTTCCAGTGTTCTGGAAAGGTACCGGATTCATGAGATGTCTGTAAGAGACGCGAAAGAACTGGAGCAAGCTCGGATGCACACCTCTCCAGTACAATGGCAGGAATCAAATTTTGTCTTCTATGTTGTTCCGTAAAGCCCACCCTCCACGCGGACATTCCGAGAGTGGAGTGAGCTTAAGTCCGGAATTCTTAATGCTCGAGGGATCCATCGTAACATTTATAAGATAAAGGCTAGCGGGTGGTACCGCCTCGGTCGACTGGTCATGTCTACCACCTTCTTTTTGCATGTTAATGGTATTAGATAGACCTAAAGTGGCCCGTTGGCAGACTTGTACCGCCACTCGGCAATCGGTACTGAGGTATTCCTTAACGCGTGTACAATCAATTGAACGGGAAGACGTTGTATACTAGATACAACAACTTCCGGAGCGAGCATTTACCACTGCCCCGCTCAGTAGGAGTTAGCAGTGAAGCATATATCACATCAGAGTCAAACGATATAGCTCAAACGTCGTTACGTTTAGGCAACAAGTGAACATGAAATGAGATAAAGCCAGTTCCACGGTGACACTTTGTCAGAAAAACCTACATAGTCTCATTAAAAATCGACATAACTTCACTTCTTAAGCTACGTAATACGGGCGCCGGGATGAGTTTTCTACACACCTGAAAGAAAGGCTTGAATTTAACTCTTCTTACTCACAATTTCAGTACAATTGCAAAATACAAAACTGGGCCCGCCCATACTTATTTGCCAGTAGCTACGGGAATGTACTTCGCGAACCGGTACGACCCTGAAGAACGTCAACATGTTGAGAGAATTTGTATAGACCTGGGAATGTTCTACCAAAAACAGGTAACAGTATGGTCTTACCAATTTATAGTTTTTCTATCAGCGATCGATACACCCTTGATTCAAAGAGATTCCACTAAGTGGGTATGAGCTATTCTGATATACAGGGTCTCCGCAAAGTTTGTGTTTTCCCTTTCAAACATAATTACGCTTGAGTACAAGTAAAAAATACATGGAAAAACACTCACTGTTCAGTTGAGTTGAAATTCCAAGTACGGCTGTCGTAAAATCCGTATTTACACGTATTTACATCGTAGTTGTACGTCGTGTAACTGTACGCTGGCGCTGGCGCTGTTGACGTGATCGAGGGACAGGACCGGCTTTGGTTTGGTTCACGTTTGATTGAGTTTGCGGAGCCCAATATCTCGGTTCTCTTAAGACATTGGTGAATATGATGCTGCTAAGAATCTACACGTCGTGTATAGGAAAACCCAAACTTTTGGGACACCCTGTATAGTTCATTTACTATGCTTGGCGGCTCACACCAAAACTACCGGCATCACTTTTTCCAATCTAGTCTGCCTGTGTGCGCGTTGCTTGTGTAAGTTCATATATATGGTACCTCCTTAACTTCGCCTCGTTTTCTCCAAAGTACGAGTGTTAGAAATGTATGCTTCTCGCTGTTAGTATGACATTCCAATTGACATGGCCATTCATTGATATGTGTAATATAGAACAGCAGCATCTGAAAATACTAACTAGTAGATCATAGCGATAGTTCTTGGCAAAGTTATTGGAGTACTTTGAGAAAACGAATGGAAATAATGCTTTTTATTAAACAATTCATGTCTGCAAGAGCTGAGCTGAAGATCGGTTCGCCCACTATGCACTTTTCCTATGGAGTTTCAGCTCCGCACATGGTTTGTTCGTACAGTCTGTTTGCTGACAATCAGTATACTGAGAGTCGACGACAAGTCATGACCTAGTTTACGCAGTTAGCTGTCACTGAGACGTCGCTGACTGTATTGATTGCGTACATGAGAACGTTACGAGTTGGCTGTCGGAAGTAAGACTAATTACCGAGAACTAATCCGCTGTTCGTACGGAAACTTCTGACTGTTTGATGACTGTCAAATTGGTCAGCAGATAATTTGCCAGTAGATTGTCGAAGCTCGGAATCAAGTACAATAATTATTCGAATAAAAAATTTTTCAAAATAAAGTTGACAATTTTGGAAAAGTTGGGGTATGTTCATTTGCTGTAAGCCAGAATGATCTATGATTTTTCGTCCAACTACCCGAATGTGCCCGAATGTTCCTCTAACAGCACGCAAAAGTAGTAAGTAAGTAATTCCCATTCAATTCTCATATAAAAAGTATAAACAGAAATATGTTTCCACACATCGAATGACAAGCTGAAGAAGTAAATACGGAGTAAGAATTCTGAATAAACGTCTGCAGTGATTATTCATGAGAAATGTACAGAGTATTGTGAATGACTCGAAGTGTATATACACAAACAGTATTTATATATTCTAGCTATGTAAATCCAACCCAAGGCTTATGAAAAAAAGCAAAATTACGAATTCTGGATATTTTTTGATACAGTTTTTTTTTCATGGGTGCCCACGGAGAGGGAATGTTCGACTGTTTCTGGCTGGCTGAAAATAGTATTTTCCCTTTACAGGGTATTTTAAATTCCATTGGGATCTCGGAAACTTCAAGGAATACGAAGTCGTTGGGCAAAGTTGCGTATTCCATATAATTGGCAAAGTGTTGCTTAAAAAGTTTTGAAACTGAAAGTACTTCCAGAGAGAGACGTGAAAAACGAAATTTCCCAAAATGGTTTTAATTTTCTCCTGGCTTTATTTGTGGTGCGATTTCAAAATAAATTGCACATCAAAGCTGTCAAATTTTGTCTTCTACAAGACGGCACCATTAGAATTTCAATATGATGTTTCGTCTCTTGTCCTCCAGCATCAACTTGATTTTTTGTTATAGACGCCATATTGGATTCTTACACACATGAATAGAATTTTTATACTGATTTCAAAAATGTTATTCCAGAAGTTCCTAGGTAGGCATTGAAATTATCAGATTTCATTTGTTTGCATAGCAACAGAAATTGAAAGACTCAAGATCTCTGCTTATTTATGGTTATTATTGTTATTACCATCAATACCATTTTCATTAAGTATTCAGGTTTCATCATATATTTTTATTATAATTTTCATTCAGCAACAAATCAACAAATTTATGGTCAACTAACGAAATACATCACTAAACTTAGGTCTTAAAAGTCCATTTAAATGTACAAAATTACAATATTTTAGTCTCCACATGAAAAAAACATAATTGATGATGGAAGTCGAAAGAAGAAATGTCGGATTGAAAATTTGACTACGCAATCTTGTAGACAAGAATAAGTAATAATGACAATATGCAATTTTTTTGAAATCCCATCTCAAATAAAGTCAAGAAAAAATAGACCGGTTTTGAGATAAATCTGATGAGCGCAACATACATCTAATAATTTCAAGGCCTACCTAACAAATTCTGTTTTTTTTTTTAAGTAACTAAGGTTTGTCATGTATGGCGTATTATGCATTTCTTGAATCACAATTAACAACTTTATTCATCTGATATATAGCGTCCTTAAAAAATAATATAGTTGATGCTGGAGGACATGAGACGAACCGACATATAGAAACTCTGATTATGCCTTTTTGTAGAGAAGAAAAAGTGGCACTGTTAATGTGCAATTTATTTTAAGATCCCATTATAAAAAAAGTCAGGAAAAAATAAAACGATTTTGGGAAAATTCAGTTTTTCTGTCACTCTCTGGAATTTCGAAACCTTCTAAGTGCCATTTTGTTTAGTACCCCATGAAAGAGAACTCTGAGGAGCAAAGCCCGTTGGCGTAACTAGATCGCCAAGAGCCCGTCGGTGCGAAGATTTCCCCAGACCTTCTATTAGAGAAGACTAATCGATCATTTAGTTCTCTCACTGTCACTGGTTGGCTAGTGTCCTCTGACCTTTCAGAAAGTTCGGTACGAACAGCGGATTAGCTGCCGGCAGTCAGAAACTGTACGAACAGGTAACATATCTCTGATTCTGATTTTGACAGTCACCGACAAGTTACCGAGTACTGTACGAACAAACCCTGATGTTTTTCTGACTTATTTCCTATGACATTGATGACCCAACCGCCAAGGCCGTGAAAAGAACTATATTCTTCTCGATCTCTGAAGGCTAGATTTAGCCCATTCACTGGTAGATGATTTGCAAAGAATGGAACACAAAGTAACATATTGACTCTCGGTGATGGGTGGGCAGTACATAGCAATGTTTGGGTGGTGGAATTCTATACGTAGATGAATGATTCATTTTTCGATTGCAGAATGACTACTTGGACTGCTTCGGTGACCAAGGGTTGGTTAAAAAGGATTGCACTGATATCAAGGAAGGCAAATGCAGCTGGGTAGCAGTCACGGCTTTAGAAAGAGCAAGTCCAGCTCAAAGAAAAATCATGCAGGAACACTACGGCAGAGCGGACAACAACTCTGTCCAAATGGTATATGCTATATTTAATAATGACAAGCTTGACGAACTGTTGCAAAATCAATCTTAACTGACGTCAGCCTTACCGTCGGCAGAAATGATGTTGAAACAAGAAGGGATGAGACTTCCACCTATGGGCAGTTTCTGTTTAGCCTGTACTAAATAGCATGTTGAGTACTTAGTACTACCCCCTTGACTCCTAAGACGCCTACGTTGTTGCCCGTTTCGTTGAAACGGCCTAGCAGTCAGAGATGCTAAAGAGAGAAATTAGTCAGTTGTTTATGGCCACAGACACGGAAAGCAGACAAATCCTGTTTTCTCAAAAACGACTTTCAGAAGGATGCTTATAAATTATTACACACGCTACCAAAAATTAACATTCTGCATCATGGTACAGCTCCTCTACACAAATGTATAGGTTAGATCAATGAGAAATGGCAGAGAGCATTGGCATTGTATGACATAGGTCATGTCCACATGACGGCACTTACATAGAATGTGGATGAAACATGACCAGATATTCCGTATTCCGAGACATTTTAGTAACTCATACTTTGAATCCGGAACTTTTTACAATGCTACCAACAACCTAATGCGTGAATAATTCAAAAAATGTACATAAATACTAATATATACGTGAAGACGCTCAAATAATTCTCGCTAACTAGAATTTATATTATGTGATGTACATCATATCTGCCAAGAGTGAATACCACCTGTTGACTTTATACAAGGTATCCCAAAAGTCATCGATCAAACGAAAGGGGGTGATAGGGAGTAGATTTACAATTAGAAAAACGATGTATGTCCTTACCCGATTTTTAAGAAATTGTTGAAAATCGCTACTGTACTATTTTTTCTGAAGTTTTTTTTTCACTATTTTCAAATCAGAACAACAGGATATGTTTCTGAATCATGTATCGCTGGAAAAGAAATTTAATTGAAAATTTAGTTAATGTTGGTACAGCAATCGGCTAAACTGCAATTTTGTCTGTTCTCAAAGAGATTACACAATATTCAACGATTAGTGGGCGGATAAGGTATTCATAGTAATGAGAAAATTCTCAATATTGCCTTCCAAAATACCTACTAGATGATAGACTATTTTCGGCGCAAGGTAGACAAAATCCTGCAGCTACCCTAAATTCGGATATTCCCATTTTTTAAACTTAACACTTTAACTGCCATTTTTGATCATCTTCCTTCTAAATAGGATAAGCAAACACTTTTGTGACAAACCTAACTGAATTCTGGGTCTAATCAGTCCGAGGGATGGCGGCCTTGTTATTATTTTGGATGATAAAAGCGTTACTCAAGCAATGTAGCACTGGCTAAACTTACAGCCCAGTTACCAGCCTTATGTGGTTCACATAGAAGACAGTACATCCTTGGAAGTGAGTATTAGATCCCAAGAATGTGATGTTTGAGTTTTATTCCCTCCATATGCTACGGGCCATTCTTTTTTTTCAGAAAATATGTTGCGGTCCTGAAAAGAGCCCCTCTTTGTGACGATATTCACAGGATATGACCTAGTGCAAGCTCTGCATTGTCACAGGTAATTATTTTCAACCCTCTGTATCATATCTGGATTTCTGTGGAGGCTGTTGCTCACAGTAACAATCCATTCTCTTGAAACTTGTAGGGCTGGAGCTTCAGCAGAAGACATTAATTCCTTCATATAGCCTCATACAAAAAAATGGATGGGGATGAGGTGTATGGTGAGCAAAGCTCTGCCTCGCCTTATCCATCGGCCTGAATGTGTGCTATCTTATGAATTCTTGTCCTTCGAAAATAAGCTTCATCTGTCCATAAGACTTTTATGAAAAATATGTCCGGATTCTTCTAGAATAAGCGCCTGCACACATTGAATGTGAAGCCGCTCTCTGTGTAGAATTCGGTGTACTATCGACCTAGCTACACCAGCATTCCGCAGAACATGGCACACGCTGCTAGAAGGCTCATTTTTAGTTGACTGTAATACCACATCTTCAGCATCTACGCTGATCCTCGGCCTTCAATTTTTACTGGTCTACAAGGCATTTCTCCTGCTACATAGGCATGGATAAATGTACGATGGTCTAGAAAATTATCGGTTTTGATATTCTTCGGCAGCACGTCAAGAATTTCCATCGCACAATCCATAAGTGAAATGCATTTCTGCATATTCCTGTGACGAGTACGGCATCTTGCCCTGAATCACAATGAGTACGGCATCATCCACGTATCCCTTTTGTATTACCCATGTTGGTTTATATCATCTACCTGTTTTTATTAACCTGTTAGTCAGTTGATATGGCAGGATTTCCATAACACTTCTATTACCCAAAGTCATGTCACGGCCGCCCACCTGTCCATTTATAGATCCTAGCATTTCTTTGGATTTGAGGATTTGTTTCCCTATCATATTCAGAAGCTGGAAGATCAACAACGGTAGTTAAAAAGTTAAGTTTAAACAGTAGGAATTTCCGGATTTAGGGCATTTTGTCTGGTTTGGGCAGAAACTATTTAGGATATTTGATTATCAACCTTTTTTTGTTGTTGCGGCTCCCCGGGCTATAAATTATATTTTCATACCCCCTTTACTTTTTCAATAGATACAAAAAAACGCACATTATATACGAACAAAGACTTTTATTTTAATTCTAATAAAGAAACTTTAAAAGTTTAAATAAACTAATAAATGTTTTTTATCGAAAAACCTGAATAAAATAAGAGTAGGTTTTGAGATTGCATGTTGTGTACCAGTTGGTTGACTGTAGGTTCTGTTTTTTTTTTTTCCAGAGCTATCATCAGGTTGCTATCGACATCAAAACGATTTCTCTGTTTAGTTTTAATTAAAACTACAGCAGAAAAGCCTGTCTCACATAAGTAATTTGAATAAAAAGAAACTATAGTATTCGTAAAGCAAGAGAGGCAAGTATCTAATTAACAAGCAAACTTTTGATCCAAAATTTCTCCAATATTAAAAGATTCTTCCTGAGCTTCTGGTAATTGTGACATATCGATAACAAATGGATTTCTCTTGTCATGTGCCATATTGGTGACTCTGAATTGATGTCTGGATAGTATCCGCGAAATTCGTCTTCCAGCGCTTGCAAATGAGTGTTTATGTCAGCTTGTAAATTTGCGTCCAGTATATTATTTTTAATTGCTGCGGAAAGCCTAGAAAAAGATATAACATTTTCAAAAGACACCTTTTGATTTCAAGTTGAAGCTTTGATATGAACCCCTGAATATAATCATAACTGATTATTATAGTGTTGTTTCTGCCCTGAAGCTTCAAGTTTAGCTCATTCAAGGAGTCAAATATGTCAGTTAAATATGCCAACCTCCATTGAAATGTGTCATCGTTGAACATTGTTAAGAAATCGTGTTTCTCTTTCAACTCAAGAAAAAGAATTACCTCTTCTTTCAATTCATAAAGGCGAGCCAACATGTTGCCTGTGGACAGCCAGCGTACTTCTGTATGGGACAGAAGAAGTTTGTGATCAGAATCGAGATCCTCGCAAAGTAAAGTAAATTACCGACTGTTTAAAACGCTGCTATTGATGTAGTTTACAATCTTATAGCCAAGTCCAAAGTCTGGCGTAATTTCTGTGGCAATGTTTTGGAAGCCAAAACTTGCCGATGGATAAAACAATGTGTACTAACCATTGCGGGATTTTTTTCCTTGAGGTTTTTAGCTAAGCCCGATCGTACACCTATCATTGCAGGTGCGCCATCTGTGCAAAGTCCAATCCAAATTATTTTGTTCAACAAAATTTGATATCGAATTAAATATATCTTCAGATGTAGTACCTGCTGTCAAAGATTGGGAGTACAAAATCTCTTCTTAAATATCTCCGCCGATGTAACGAACATAAATTATTAGCTGTGCACAATTAACGATGTCGGTGAATTTATCGCAACTAATGGCAAAAAAATCGTGATAATTGTACTTTGTTAATTATTTGTGACTTTATGTCTGCTGATATGTCATCGATTCTACGCTTGACTGTGTTATTCGAAAGAGAAACAGACTTCATTGTTTGCTCTGCATCTTCTCCTAAAATTATCACTTTTACAACATATGGTTATATTAATTCTTCACCGATAGTATGTGGTTTCTTTTGCTTTGCTATCACAAAAGCCATTTCAAATGAAGCTTTGAGATGTTGCGATACACCTGTTTGATAACTTCCCGATCTATCAAGTCTCATCCGCTTGAGTGATTCTGCAAAACCAGAGCTTCAAATACGTTTCAAGACGATTGGGCCTCATGCTATCATTACTTAAAACTTTCATACATATCACACACTGGGGCAATTGTAACTCGTCTTTTTCCATGAAGGTAAATCCAAACTTAACGTAATTTTCAGAAAACTTTCTTTTTTCTGCTGCCATTTTGCACCTATAACAATAAAACAAATAACTAATAAATAAATTAGCAAAATACCTACATGTAATTAGTAATTATATGCAAAGTAATGTATTCAACAGTATATTCGGCCACCGGAAGATTTCTATTTTTGTAGGCAGGTTGATATTATAGTAGTAATTTTAAATACATTTGGAATCAATATTAGATACTTAAAGTTCGTCATTTCAAAATTATTTCGCCACGTTGGTTTGATTGCGATGTGGTAAAAAAGTCCCAATGGCCGATCTATGAACGCGCCTCCACGCAATCAACAATTTAGTAAATTAAATAAAAATGGTAACTGATGTTTGTAAATACACAAACTTACCTCTTAACAGTGAGTCACAATAATTTGACACACTCAAACAGATTTCTCAATAAAACATGTACATCGAAACGTCAAATTTTTGGCAAGTTTGTGGGAGTGAATGTCACAAACGCTCATCCGCGTCTGGTAGGTACACAATTGTTTTCTAAGTGACGAATGTTAATCGGAGCTCGGCGCGGGTGCACGCGAATTTCATGTTGTGACTTGTCGAAACTTGTATAAACTGCGATTGACAACGCCGGGTTTTGAAACAGCGGTTGACAGAATAAGTGAATATGATGTTTAATTTCTAATTTTATGCGTGTAAATTAATCATTACATTGTAATGATATTTGTTAATGTTGTTTGTTTATTTTTTTTGTTTATTCTTTCTAAAATGCAAACGCTTTCCGCCCCTCTCGACACCTCTCTATGCTCCCCTTTTGAGGCGCGCCGCCCTGGCTGGGAAATCCTGATCTAATAGGTATTATTTTTGGTCATAGTATAGAAATATTTTTGTATCCCTTTGGACACTTCATCCGACTACTAATTTCTTTAAGGCCTCGTTGAATATGCTATAACATCTTGTTGACAACAGATACAATTGCAGATTAGCCGATTGCAGTACCTACATTAAATGGCTTAAATTTTCACTTATAGCTTTTTTCTAGCTACACATCACTTTGGAACATATTCTATAGATTCTCTAAATAACAAACAATTTCAGTCAATACAGTCTGAAAGGTAACGGTTTTCCACAAATTCTTAAAAATGGCGATAACTCGGAAACCGTGCGTAATCGAATAAGGACACATACTCCTGATTGCAATGGCCCCCCTCTTCCGTTTGCTCCATGACTTTTGTGACACGCGGTATATGGTTTTCACAGCGAACGACTGACAAATAGACAACTGCATATATGATCTGCGGGTTAAAAGCAAAACCACTTCAAGTGCCTCATTTTAGTAGTCGACAGAGGCTCGAAAGATGAATTCGGAAAAGTCAAACGGAATATAATATAAATTCAAGTTCTTGTCTTGTCCGTTTCAGCAATAACTTTTTATGCCGCAGTACCTCGTATTCTTAGTTGGCCACTCTGTACATAGCTTGCAAGAAAAAACAGTGGTGTTGTCATTGTCATTGTCATTGGGTCGCTCTAGCTTAGCACATTGGTTTCCAATGTGTTGAGTATTTATTAGACAAAAGTTTGTTTATCGAAGAAATTCAAACCAAACCAATAACCAACCCGTGTTCAGTGCGTGATCAGCCCGTTGAGATATTTCAAGAAATGGAGAGCATAACCATTACTGGGTAAAATTGGGCTAGCTCACATACAGGACTAATGGCAAACCAGGAAGGTGAAATGACAGCCGACACGGCGGTACATGCAGCCTCTCTGGTCCTGTTACGTGCTCACCCGTTCTGACTATGCTTGGGGTCCAGCTTCTTTCTTCGATAAATAGACTATAGCTACTATGTCTTGGCATCCTCTGGGGATATTTATCTCCCCAGGATATTTTTGTATAGGAAGTTATTACAATTTTTTTGGTAATGATACTACGGTATACTATTTTTGACATGAAAAATCGATTTGGTGTATCGTTGGAAATATTACAAATATGTTTACAAATAGTTTCGGATTTTACGAAGCTTGAATACTACCGAATAATTGTTGAGGTTTATTCTGTATAACAAACGACAATATGTGGATACTTTCCTACAACACAGTGAACATGTTGATCTTTAAGGAGCTGTAAAGTCGCATTTACCATTGATTAACGTATCCTACCTGAAGATAGCCAACCCAATATTATATTCGCGCATACGAAAAATCATCTGAGATGAAATGAGACACTGTACCGTCATCTATGAGATCTTGTCAAGTTATCTTTCTCATCTCCCCAATTATTAGAAATCTATCTTGAAAAGGTTAGTGGCTCATAGATGACGCTTTAGCTATATGCTCATATATGTAGAGTTGGCAACAACCGCATATATGCCCAACTAGCAAAGTAGTGCTATAAGCTTTTGGTAAAAGAACCGTTCAGCCATAAAAGCTCTCTATTGTTGTTGCCTGAACACCAAAATGCTGGCAACATATGTATTTGCTCTAAAATGAGGTGTTTAAAATATTCTTATAGCATAGTTACACAACACCTTATAGGACAAACTTTTAACTGTTGCATAAACGTTTATACAACTATTTTATACGGCATATTTGCCGGTTAGTCAAAATGGTTGTGTTGTGGCATCCATGGTAACGTTTATAAAACAAACCCGAGCCTTGTTGTTTTGCTGTGCAATTTACTACTTTAGCCAACAAATTGCTCCCATCGGAAGCACTTATACAACTGTTGTTTAGTAACTGTTAAAGGCTGTACATATGCTAAATATGTTGGTATACAACTTCACCATAACCTAACTTTCTGATGTCATATTTTTGTTAAAATGTCATAACCAATGTTTTAAGACAAACAACGCATGCATATTGGTTAAAAAGGTTTTATCAACTGTTCAAACAGAAGATATAGATCTGGTACAAATTCTAGGTATATCATTCAACTCTGTCGGTATTTCATTTCTGATATTTGTCAAATTGTTGTGTAACACCTGCAGGCAACACCAAAATATTCTAATAACCTAAAGACAACATGGACGATGCCATGATTATACACAACCACCCGCCATATTGGGCAAACATTTATTCCTCTATTTGATATTAAATAATTATGTTTCAGTTCGAAATTACAGATATAAAGTGATAAATATTAGTGTAATTGTGTGTAAATATAGGATTTGTGGAAGATTTAACGCAGATAAGTTCAGTTTTCCATCATAAAAATCTAGACATACTTTTGATCATTATCAAAATATGAATCAAATCCGAAGCCCGTAGAAATTGCGTAACTACTTTCCACGATAATCACAATAAAATTTGCTACGCAAGTAATTCAATAGCCCTATGTCACAGTGTAGAAGTTTATCATATACCTGTGTATGAAATTCACAATGGCCGATATGTAGGTAAACAAGATGACTGTATTGTGTTAGTTATATATTGTTCACTTCGTCTATACAATACATAAGAAATAGTTTGGTTGCAATAAAGTAGAATCACGTAACAGAATAGTTGTATAGTTGACAAAAACTGAATCTTGCACTGATGCAAACGTCCTATAGCGGCTGCAAGAGGCTTACACTTTTGTTGTGTAACTGTTACCTGCAGCCCTTATACAACCTATTAAACGACTGAAGTGTCCTATTGGGTGTGCCCATTCCGCTTGTATTGCTGTTCTAAGAGGGTTTTGCCAATATTCTTACAGTATACAATGCTGTGTAAGGAATACTGTATAATTCTTGCAACTCTAATAGGAGTGATAATTGTTAGTTGGGTGAGACACTAACCTTTTCAACGTAGATTCCTCATTATTGCGGAGACTTAAAAGATAGCTGTGACAAATTCTCATAGATGACGGGGTGCATTTCATCACTTTAGAATACTTTAATCAACGCCTTTAATCAAATATAATAATAGCAGCAATTATAATCTAAAACTTTAAAAATCATGTTTAGGTGAAGGACCTTTACCTGGAACTCGACCTACCAGCCGTGTTCGCGGCCTTTGAAAAAGAAAGTTTCCATAAGGTTTGTAGTCAAATCGAGCAAGCGAAGGGACTACCACACGAATTATTTTATAGAATGGTTAGCTCGACTTTCGGGAACGCTTTCTGATCCCGTACACGTAATTTGTAGACAGCTAACACATGTCTAGTAGGTAATGTGGTATGATTATAATTGAAAGACGTATACAATTTTGTGAATCTGATAGCCTAAGTTTCAGTTATAGCTTTATTACAAGGAACTGTATTATTAATTCTGTGATTCTTCCGTCGTTCTTATACATACACAACTAAGGCTTAAGCTATGTAGAGCCTTTCAACTTGTCCGTTGTTTATTTTTCAGCAGTGATAACTTTTAAGTAATTTTAGGTAATCTATTCTGCTATACTTCATTAAATTGTATTGGGAAAATATCAACATCAAATAAAACGTTCTATATGATACTAAAATTATCATTTCAAATCGTTAACACAGAAAACTGTCAAGCAAATATTCCAAATATCGAAAACAAAACAAACGCGGTGCACTTTGTGCCAACACATAGAATACTTGTCACCCAGTGACGTCATGCTCAAAGCCGTACGCAATTCGATCGCGAAGTGAGTATGTCGTCTCGAGTTATAGTATCATGGGTGGTGGGGAAATGTATACCTCATTTATTTATCATTAGTATATTTATGCTTTTCTAACCCCAGTGACTCTGCGCACGTATTAAAATTATTCGTTCCACTTTAGTCTATCCGACGAAAGCCAGCATAACAACGGACAGCTGTTTCATGCTTCTTGGCAACTCCGCGGCATGGTCTAAGCTTGGGCTCTCGGACAACGAACAAAAGCTTAGCAACCATACAGTGTAAAGTGTGACATCTGTCAAAGTATAGATTTTAGCCCCTGAGTTAGAGGCCCAGTATAATTTATTGTAGTTTTGTGACTGAAGCATGTGAGTGAGTTATGATCCAAAGTATCAAAGATTTTTTTTACACTCGAACCACCATGAAGGCCTGAACACCCATAGGTACCGTAGGGCTATAGGGGGGTACAGGGAAGAGGGGACTCTAGCGAGGAAACACGTGTACATGGAAGAAGCACACATTCTGGCCCGGTCTTAGAGATCCGCCGGGTGGTACCTACACGTCTCGCAATCAGATACCGTCTACGACCTACGGACAATCATAATATCTATAGCAAGGAGAAAAATTAAAATTATTTGAAGTATGCTGCAAGAATTATTGATGTCATGCTAAAATAAAGTATACTAAGTGACATATAAATCCGAACACCCAGTTTAAATGGTTTTTATTTTAATAAAAGTTGGTGTATGTATTTATCTTACTGTAAATAACAAGTGAAAAAATTTTCAGCCTTATCAGTTGGACATTCCGGTTTTTATACTGCTTTTTTTTAATTCACTAACGCTCTAAAAATGAATATTTCAGCCGCAGTAAAGAATCAACGTTGGCGGATTTTGGTTTTTGACATCCTTTACGATCGGTTACGATGCCTAGAGTTCGGAGACCTGTACGATTTCGTCAACTTAGTGAGTTTGATAGGGGCCGTATAGTGGGACTTCGGGAAGCTGGACTTTCTTTTCGGGCAATTGCAGTTAGAGTGCAAAGAAGTGTAGACACTGTGGTTAGGTGTTGTCAGGCATGGCTTCGAGAAGGCCGCACGCAAAGAGCAAGGGGCACTGGACTCCGCCGTAGAACAACAGACCGTGAAGATCGCCGCATAAGATTATTGGCCTTAAGGGACCGTTTCTCCACTACCAGGTCCATTGCAAATGAATGGTTTGCAGAACACGGAAGACCTATTGGCATGCGAAGTGCTTACCGACGAATGAGAAGTTTTGGCTTGTTTTCATACCGGCCACACTGGGTCCTCCCTTTAACTCGAGAACACCGACGTAATCGCCTTGAGTGGTGCAGACAACGGTCACTCTGGGATCAGGAATGGAACAGTATTGTCTTTAGTGACGGGTCTCGATTTTGTTTAGGCATGCACGATGGTCGTGCCAGGGTTAGAAGGCGACTTGGTGAAAGGAGGAATCCACAGTTTTTTGTTGAAAGACATGTTCATCAGACTGTTGGAGTTATGGTTTGGGGTGCTATAGCTTATGGTTCCAGGTCACCTTTAATCTTCATCAGAGGTAACATGAACGCGCAGCGTTATATCCACGAAGTTCTAGAACCCCATCTTTTACCCTATCTTGACACCCTGGCAGATCCAACTTTCCAACAAGATAATGCCCGACCACATGTTGCAAGAGTCACAATAGACTTCTTTCAACATAATGATGTCACATTGTTACCATGGCCACCAAGCTCTCCCGACTTATCCCCAATTGAGCACGTGTGGGATATGATGGGTAGGAGATTGGTCAATTTGCAACGTCCTCCTCAGACTCTAGAAGCACTTAGAGAGGAGTTGGCGGTTGCCTGGAATGAGATACCACACATGTGGCTTTAGAAGTCTGTCAGAATGCAACAAAAATTTTCGAATCTCTTCACTGTAGTGAGATTTAAGAGCTCCCATGAATGTGCGGTCAAGAGGCTGGAGCTTGTGCGTTGTGTGGGGGGGCAGGCTAATAATAGTAACATGGTTTTTGCGAGCAAGTTGCAAAACTTCAAGGTTTCGAGTGTGGCTGTAATGTCCATCGAGTATAAGAAGTATGGGAGAGTTTTCTGTTGGGTGGGTTTTTTCTAAAAAATGCTCAAACCATTCAGTAAATAAATTGGTTTGAATCCATCCCGAAGGATGTGCCCTTCCAAGTGCACCAGGGGGAGCTCCTTTCATTAAAACATCTGAAAAATTCTTCCTGGGGAATATCATCATTGGCGGTATGAAAGTGCCTCCAGCGCTCATTGCACTAACTATGGTTATCAACGAACCGCGTTCTGCAGCAGTTAAAGCTCCGATCTGCCTTTTGCCCTTTCGACCCACTACTGCTGGTATTTTTGTTTGTACAATGGTGATGCCTGTTTCATCTACATTGTAGATGCGATCTGCGGGGTATTGGCATTTTATGTATTCGGCTTCCAAAATATCAAAAAACTTATTTATTGCTGCTGGATTAAAACCTTGAACTCGTGCATAAGAGGTTCCCGTAGGTTTTCTGAGAGACAACTGATGTTTGTATCTTTTAAGAAAATGATCCAACCATGCTCGACCTGCTACATCATTTTTAAAAGGATTGGGAATATTGTTTTGAACTGTCAACTGGTAGGCTATTTTTCTGACATCCATTCGAGTTAAGCCATAAAATATTTGCTCCATGTGCAATATATATTCCACTAATTTTTCTTCTAGGTAAGGTGGCAACACAGGCCTTCTACCTAAGGGCTTCTGTACAACTAGCTCTGGCGACAACTCAGTATTATGGACGAGCCTTCTTAGAGTAGTTCTTGGTACACCAAAACTTTTAACTGCCTTGTAAAACCCATAGACTTAGTGCGTACAGCTTCAACTGCCCTTGTCATCTGATCGGAGCTCTTCCTATCCCTCTTTGTAGACATAATTGTTCGGGGCATCTACAACAATTTAAAATAAATTAAGAGCCGAATTTAGCGTTGAGTTTATTTATAAATATATTAAAGTATCCGCAAAAATGTATTTAATATGGCCCCTGGGCCATAATTCCAGCTTTATAGGGGGCCATATTACATACATGGGTGTATTGTAAACACGCCACCAAAAAAAAAAAAAAATTATTCAACGTACCTGCCTTCGTAACACAGCTATTATTAGCCCTTTATCTTTGTACAGAACACAATGAATATGTTTCTAAACCAACTGTCTAGACAAAAACGTGTTGAATCGATCACCAACGAAATTATCTACTACCCACGATACCGCGGAATTGGCAATACTGGCCGAACCTGTCGATAAGTCGACTTCCTTCTTTCTTCTAAATATTGTTTGAGGACCGATTTGTGTTGTTTACTATAAAAATCATAGATGGCTCTCCGGTTACTATGAAATTAAAAGGGGGGCCAAATTAACAGCAGGGGCCATAATACCACCTTCTTCTCTAATATTATTTTCGGCTGAAAGATAGATGCGACGAGATTTAGCATGGCCGTAATGACTTTCATGCCCTTTCAAACTAGCTATGAATTTTTTCACAGCTTCAAATTTATTTACATTATTAAAAGAGCGTTTGTCTCCTCCACGCTTCTCAATAATGGCACTGCCAGATTGGATCTTCCGAGCAATAGTATTTACACGTCTCTGACTGACTCTAAATATTGCTAAGAATAGTTTCAGGCAAATGTAGACTTTTTTCCCGTTTTTCCAAATGTAAAAAAAATAATATAAAGTCCATGGTAAAATTAAACCTGACCTTCCGATAGTAAAGCGTTGCTTAAACCACGATTATATCTTTAAATTTAAGTTTCCAGTTTGAATTTTTTTGTCGTTCGATCGGGATAAGTTAAGGGCCGATTTCAGAAATACTATATTTTCCACCGGAGTGTATGTCTAAACAATCACCCTTTTAAGCTAAATCAAATTATTTAAGAGTAAACTTACAAAATATCTTGTAGAAAAACTGTGCGATTTTCCTCCTGGTCTTCGGTTACGACTTCTATCTGGTTTTCCAACATCCATAAAATGTCCCAATTTATTATCCTGTACATTCTTTCTTTTTCGTTTCATAAAACGTATTTCTTATTGTATGTATGTCATCCTGGGATAGTTCATAGCAAAAAAAATCCTTGCGTTTAGGATGACCACAGGAAAAATCAACAAGATGTTCCAAATTAGGGTAATGATCTGAATGCCTTAAAAAGAGAATATTAAAATATTAACGATAATAACATAACACCCTACAGATGATATTAGCCAAACAATAGCGTAATACAAATATAACCTCAAAATCATTGAAACTTACTTAAAATAACTTTTACGCTCTTTAGATGTGATATTTTTTTTCTTTTTCTACTACCACGGTTCGTATCACCAACTATATGATCCCCTTTCACAGGTACATCCATTATTTTGGATTGTTTCGTGAAAAACAGAGAAATAAAAGTACACAAAACAAACACGTCTGACAGCAACACGTGCAAACGACAAACTAAAGGCAATTAGTCCAGGCTGCAAGGACAAACTTCTGTTAGTTTGTCCACCGCTAATGGACATATAGCATAAAGAAAGTCCAAGGAATTTTTATCATTCAATTTGAATGGAACAAAATGCATTTAGAATGTCTTCTGTAGCATAACATTGTAGAGGTGTATATCTAGTTTGCGATTCCACCTTTGGTTGAAAATTTGATAAAAATGGACAAATTGCATATAGAAAGTCTGCTCCTCATATGCATATTCAAATTATTATAAATATAGTAAACTTAACATCTACTGTAGAAGTTATATAGTTAAAATAATAAAAAATATGAAATTGGCTGTGGAAAATAACAAGCAGTTGGAGTAAATGTAATTAATTCGAGAATTTTGATTTATCAATGGAGAATTAATACCTAGATTTGTGCGACAATATGTAAGGTTGTTAAACAAATCATAGTGTCGGTAATTCCTGTCTTTTGCATTAACATTGACTGAAGAAAGTAAATCATTACAGTCCCAGAGATTTTTGATTAGCTTGTAGATAACTAGAATGTCAGAAGCTACTCTTCTATTAAATAGTGATATAATATTGAACTTTTTCATTATTACATCATAGTTATTGTATGTGATGGGAGTGCCACATTTGAAGGCGATTGTACGTAAAAACTTATTCTGAATTCTTTCGAGAGCTTCCTCTTCCCTTGCACCATTCTTTTTTCTATTACTTTATAAGCAATTCCAAAAACTGTCTTACGTTTCAGTAGTTAATATAATCAGTGAAAAAACAACTATTGATTTAATGAAATAATGAATTAGAATAAAGATTAAGGTGTATTTAATGAGATCATTCAATTCCGTGTCGAAGTGTATTAATAGCTATTAAAACCAGTTATTAGACATAGCTGACGAGCAGTTTTAGACCAGAGCTGAGTTACAAAGATATTAGTTTCCCATGTTTTTCATGAAAAGCCCAGATAGTGCATTGCTGATTCCGAAAAAACCCACATTTGTACTAGAAGTTGTTTTGGATGCGCCGGAAGTATAAAGTCATTCTACTTGACGCTATTTCTTAATATCGAGAATTAATCGTTACTATTTCTTGTGGAATGAAGTCTGTTTACTGTTGCTGCCTATACTCATATGATTAGATCGTAGGTGAGGTGGGGTTGTTCGATCGCGTCCCCTTTCCCTTGCGCCATCATTTTCTCTATTACTTCATAAGCAATTCCAAAAACTCTCTTACGTTTCTGTAGTTAATGTATTCAGTGAAAAAACAGCACATTAGTTTAGTCTGAAATAGATCAGTCCTTCAGGGTGAGTTTTTATTGTATAAAGGAACCACTGCGCTCTTCATAGGTTATTTATAACAACGTTTTTTCACATTAATTAAAATATTTATATTTATTTATATTTATTGATGATACGAAAATTGCGATACATACATATGATGCAAGGGTGGAACTATGATAACCTCTAAACACTCGCTACGATGTACAGGGTGGCGCATCGAAAACGAAACAGACGCATTTACTGGCAGCTCAGTTTTATTTTTGAAAAACGCACAGGCCCGTCGATTTTTTTTCGAGGGTGTCACAAGTTTGGCAAAAAACCACGTGAGCACGTGCATCCCCCTAAACGGGGGTGACAGCACCCCCAAAATCTTAAAGGAAAGGGGGGTCGAGTGATACCTTATTTTGAAGGTCTTCAATTGCCTTTATAATGATATAAAATTAATGTACTTCAGTTCAGTAGTTTTGAAGATTTATTGATCTAAAGCTTAAATAAAACTAATACATACAAAAGTAATTTAAAAATGAAGAAATAACTGACCCGTTAGGCAAGTAAATGTTGAAAATGACCACCATGACTCTCCATGCAATAATAAAGATTTTAGACAAAACGTTGCTGCACATTTTGCAAGGAGTAATTTGAAGGCACTCATTCACAATTCTTTTTCGCAGGTCTTCTAATGGTGTTCTCTGAGTAGCATAGATTTTGCTATTTAAATGACCCGACATAATGAAATCCAAAGGTGATAAATCTGGCGAACTTGGGGGCCATTCTATGGCACCTCTTCTACCAATCCATCGACCTGGAAACGTCTGATCTAAATATTGTCGAACACTTAATGCGTAATGTGATGGGGCACCATCCTGTTGGAACATCAACCTATTCGCTATGTACCGCCGATCATTCTGATTTTCAATTATGGCTGTTAATGCAGGATCTATGGCGTCTTCCAGTAATTCCAAATACATTTCACCGGTCAAATTTCCAGGTAAGAAAAAAGGACCAGCTAAATGATCATCAAAAATACCAGCCCAAACATTTAATTTTTGTGGCTGCTGTGTATGAACCTCATGATAAATTGTGGGATTAGAATCGAGCCAATATCGGCAGTTATGACGATTTACTACGCCATTTAAGAAAAAGGAACATTCGTCGGAAAAGCAAGTGTTGAATAGAACATGTTTATCGTTTATACTTCGTTCACTCATATCTTCACAAAATTGTAATCGCCGATCAAAGTCGTCTTCATTGAGTTCTTGTACCAGGTGAATTTTATACGGATGAAAACTATGGGCCTTTAGAATCCGTTGGACAGTACGTCGACTAACAGCACACACAGTCTCCAATTTGCGGGTACTTAACGTAGGATATACATAAACTTGCCCTAAAACCCCCACTTCTATTACTTCGTTCCTTATGGGATTTTCATTGTTGCGTTTTTCATTGGCAACTGACCCAGTTTCCCGAAATTTAGCTACAAGTTCTAGAACATATTTTCGATGCACGTTGCTGTTCTCATGTCGCTCATTAAATATTTCTGCTGTTCTATTAGCGCACTGATTATTTCCGAAAAATATTTCGATAATTTCTACTCTTTCTGCTGTGGAATATACCCTGGTTAATTTATGTCATAAAGCGTTACAAGTTATTTTAGCAACAAAGTTTGGTCAAATCAATCTCAAACTATGTACTAAATTTAAAATAATTACGAGATATTTCCTTATCTTCCTTCAAGAAATAACTTTTTGGCCACAAAAAAAACGCTCCAACAGCTATTTTCAGCAACAAAATGATAAACAAACCAAGAGCGTAGTGAAGAAAAGCATTTACTTATTATGTAAATTCTTTTAGTCAAATTTCTTCTGAAAGTAGTACATACTAATCTGATGTACCTATTAAAGTCTACTTTAAGCTTAAAATCAATATGTCTTCAAAACTACTGAACTGAAGCTCATGTATTTTAAATCATTATGAAGGGAATTGAAAGACCTTTAAAATAACTTATCACTCGACCCCCATTTCCATTTAAGATTTTAGGGTTGATGTCACCCCCAACCAGGGAGCTGCACGTGTTAACGTGAGCTTTTGCCAGATTTGTGTCCCACTCGAAAACAAAATCGACGAGTCTGAGCGTTTTTCCAAAAAAAGACTGAGCTACCAGTAAATTCGTCTGTTTCGTTTTCGATGCGCCACCCTGTATATTTCATCATCTTATCGAATCTATTTTGCATTCAGCTGTGAATACACGTAGAGAAAATCAATCGTCGGAGGTTGTACTGCTGTGTCGTTATTCTATATGCTGTGGTAAAGGTTGTTGGACAGCTTCCCCTTCCCCTGCACCATTCTTTTTTCTAGTACTTTATAAGCAAATCAAAAACTCTCTTACGTTTCAGTAGTAATATAATCAGTGAAAAAACAGCTCATTGATTTAGGGTGAAATAGATCTGCCATACAGGGTGAGTTTTTTAAAAACAGTGTTTTTTCCCATGAACTAAATTGTTCTTTGGGAGAAAATATGTATCAAGTTTTTTGTAATATAATAATACACGTTCATCCCCGGTAATTTTGCGCATCGATTAGACATATTTTATACTTCATAGATTGGTATATGTACATTTGACCTTAAAGCTCGGGAACATACCACCAGCAAACGGAGATCACCTATCGGTCGCACATGCCATGTTCTATGGGGTTATTTTTAAATATTGCATCTTTGGTACTCGATCCAAAAGACTTATGAAAGCATGTATAATAACAAGCGCCGCGGAGACATACGAGGTGAGCGCTTTATTATCTATACAGGGTGTTCCTTATTAATATGCGAATATTTAAGGGTGTGAATCTAAAAATTAATATTAGTTTGCTTCATAAACTATTGTACAAAAATGTTTCCCTAGAAAAACTCGGGGTGTTGAAGCATTAGGAAAAAATGGAAATTAATTAATATTTTCAGAACTTCTTCAGATATTTCACTGATATTTGGTACGTAGTGAAAGTTAATAAAGTTGGATATTTTTCAATGCAAAAATAATTTTTAGCTTTAACAGTAGCGTGCGTACGGGTATTGACTTCGTTGTGTTTAGAAAAAAATTATACACCAATGGCTTTTTGCCAATTAAAAATTATTTTTGAACTCGCCGTTCAATTTAAAACAAATGATCTGTCTTGAATTGTTTTCCCTCGACGCGCCATTTTTGAGTAAAAAAATTCTATTGTTCGAGAAAATTAATGTAATATTTGAAGAATGCAATTCAACAATAAATATTTAGTTGGTCTGGAATATGTCACCGGCTTTTGACATCTGACATGTCTTTGTTATTCAATTCCGTTCGCTGTGGCATCTTTTTCATTATTTAGTTTTTACAATCCTGTTAATACTAGTGAATTATTCAAATGAGAAATGACAGAAATGCATTACGTATATTATGGTCTTGCCGACGGTAATGGTAAGCAAGCCAGACGGATTTATCACCAGAGATATCCCGATCGTACTTTGTCAGATAGTCGAACCTTTTCTAATATTCATCGTCATCTTGTTGAAACTAATTCTGTCCAAAAAGGAACATCCGAGGGTAGACCTCTGAGTGTGAGAACACCTCAAATTGAGGAAGCAGGAAAGCAGTGCTGCACGATATCGAAGAGCATCCTGAAACGAGTACCAGGAAGATCGCTAGACACTTAAATATTTGCCATCAAATCGTTTGGAGAATTTTAGTGGATTTTTTTGTTATATCCTTACCATATTTTAAGAGAACAGGCATAACTTCCCACTGATTTTCCAAGGCGTGTGACCTTTTGTCAGTGGTACCTTCAAAAAATTACACAAAATCCGCAATTTGAATAAATGATTCTGTTCACGGACTAAGCTAATTTTTCTCGAAATGCCATTCAGAATTTCCACAATAATCATTTGTGGGCAGAAGAAAATCCCTATGCCTTAACCGAAACCCATTTCCAACGCCAATTTTCGCTTAACGTATGGGCAGGAATTATTGGCAACCACTTTAGTGGCCCATTCTTCTTGCCGGGGCGACTTGACGGTCAGACTTACCTCAATTTTCTTTAACAACAATTGCCTTTGCTACAAAGATGATGTTCCGTTAGTAATGAGAAACAATATCTGGTACATGCATGATGGTGCACTAGCGCATTTCAGTGTAGCGGTTCGTAACTATTTACGTCTACTGTTTATCCAAATCGTTGGATTGGCCGTGGTGGGCCCCAAGAATGGCCACCAAGGACCCCAGACCTCAACAGCTCAGATTTCTTTGTGTGGGGCTATCTTAAGATACTAGTATACGCAAGTCCCATTAACACTGTAGAGGAATTAAGAGAAAGAATAGTTGCAGCTTGTGATAGAGAGGGACGGAGGAAGCATGCATACTAAGTGAAGGGGGGCATTTTCAACAATTTTTGAAATCATTTCATTGGTTTTAATGTTATGTTTACGTTGTCAGTTGTTGTTGTTTATTACCCCTAATGTGTTTAATTTTTCCAATTAAATTAATAATAATTTTGCAAGTTAGACAATAGAACGGTTTTTATTTTTTTACTCAAAAATGGCGCATCGAAGGACAACAATTCAACTGAAATCTTTGTTTTAAATTGAACGGGATGTTTAAACATAATTTTTATTTGGCAAGAAAACATTGTCTTTCCATTTCTTTCTTGAAAAATATGGAAGTTAATACCGGTACGCACGCCACTGTTAAACCTGAAAACTATTTTTGCACTGAAAAATATGCAACTTTATCAACTTTCACTACGTACTAAATATCAGTGAAATATCTGAAGCGGTTCTGAATATATTAATCAATTTCCATTTTTTTTCCTAAAACTTCAACACCCCGAGTTTTTGTAAGGAAATATTATTGGACCATAGTTTATAAGATAAACTAACATTAATTTTTCATGTAGATTCACACCCTTAAATATTCGCATATCATTAAGGAACACCCTGCATAAATGTACATTTGTTCTAAATCGGTTGCTATTTTCATACTTGTGTTGTAGCTCCTGAAGATGACAGCATAGTTTGTCGAAAGCTTGAGATTTCAGTCAAAAGTGTTCACTACGCTTCAAGTTTTGCTAATTCCCAATAAACAATTTAATTTTTTTCTTGCCCAGCTGGTCATCGACAATGGCACTGACTACTGCTAGCATAAATGTACATATATATGAGTATATCTATTGAGGTTATATAATTCCGTGACGAAATATTGTATAGTATAGAAGTATGTATCAATAGGTATTCAAACCAAGCAGTTGTATACCAGAGCATAGCTATAAAGAAATGAGTCTCCTGTGTTTTTCATGATAAACCCAAATAGTCCATTGCCGGATTCGACAAAACCCAAATTTGTACTAGATTGTTGTTTCGGAAGCGTCGGAAGTATAGAGTCAATTTACTTGATGCCATTTTTTAGTATTGAGAATTGGCCGGATTACTTTTTTCTGTGGAATGAGCAGTCTGATAACCATTGCTGCCTATCCTCATATGATTATATTATTGGTGAGGTGAGAATAGACTAAGGCAATAGCTAGTTTTTCTCGACCAGCCAAAGTAAAAATACGCTATCAGAATGCCCTGAATAACAAGAGGCATAGGCATTCTGCGTGAGCCCATAATATCGTCGGCAGTTGCACTGCTGTGTCGTTATTGCATATGCTGTGGTAAAGCTTGTGTGATAGCTTCCCTTCGATTGCACTATTCATTTTTCTATTTCTTTATAAGCAATTCCAAAAACTCTTTTACGTTTCAGTAGTTAATGTAGTCAGTGAAGAAACAGCTCATTGGTTTGGGGTGAAATAGATCACCCATACAGGGTGAGTTTTCATTGTGTGAAGGAACCACGGTGCCCTTCATGGGTTATCTATAACAACGTTTTTTCACATGAATTTAAATGACATTTTTATTGATAATACGATAATTCTAATACTTAGTTATGATGTAATCGTGGAACTATGATAACTTTTTTTACGAAACACTAGATAAATCATATATTACATCACCTTATCTAATCTGTTCTGCGGTCAACCCTGAGCATACGTACAGCCAAAGAACAAAAGTTCGCTTGCTGTTAGCCTTCGAAGCAAAGCTAAAAATTGCTCCGAAAGAAACTAAGCCTAGAGGGAATTTTAGGGAAAGATTTCAGCTTCAATTTCTATACGTGGCAAACCTAAAAATTATCGGAGTTTTCAAACATTGAGAAAGGTTTCTCAGGCACTGAATCGCGTATGACACAAAAACGGTAAGATTTAGAGAAACGTTATCTTTGTTCAGCATGATCCATAATTCCTAAAACCGCATCTGGACCAAAAAACCTGGGCACATACTAAATTTTTAAAAAATACTTTGTAATTCAAGCGGCGGATGCAGGATTTCTTCTAGGGGGGGAAGGGGGGGCGCAAACGATATTTGGAACTTGGTAATTTTTCTACCTCAGTCGAACTTCTAGAATTTATCCTATTATTGCTCCTAAAATCCATTGTGTTCTATCTGTTCAATGCCAACTTGAAAAAAAATATGGAAAGTGCTGAGAAATCCTCGGAAAGCCAATATCTTATTATATGAGGACAAAAGGATTACGTGGCATTCATAAATAACTAGTGTAATAATATTAAAGATTAAAACATAAGAAACTTCATTGCTCTGTTAACCAAAAAATACATTTTGAGGGATCCCGAGGCATATCCCAACCATTCCACACAAAACAATGTCAATAGACCATCTATAGACTGCCTATAGACAAATTGCGCAACGGGGTCTACTAGTGTAGCTTAAGGATTAATACTCTGAACTACCCGTTAAACAAATCAAGTAATTGGTGTAAATACTGACACAATCAAGAACTGGTATTATATCAGCAGGCGATAAAAAATATCAATAGGTCAATTATTTTTTGAAATTCAATATAGATGTTACAGTTATTCTTCATACTTTGGTTGTCGAACTTAGATTTACGGCATAGTTGTTGTTTTCACAGTTTTCGAATCGGTGTTGGTCGCATATAAAAATGTTGGAAATCTTTGGAAAAAACTATATACGTTAGATCGTAATTATTTTGATAATGTATGTTTGTACGAAAAAAGAACAGGAATACAGAGCTGTACATATTCACGTGTAGTGCGGAAGCTCTGTGACTTAAACAAATTCCAAAATAGCAACATAAATAAAAACATACGCGGGAAGAAATGCGGGACGTGTGGTATTGACTTTGTGCGTCGATCGACGCATTTTCAGGACAGGCCACAGGCGCACCGCTAAGCAAATCTCATAAATGTATAATTCCAATGTAGGCGTTCATCTAATATATAGTATAATCATATTAGCAAATTTCCCCGAAATGATTGCAAAGTCCTGTTTTATTGGTGCAAGTTGTTCAAGGGGGTATTTTAAACATGGACGCATAAAACGGTTACACCAATTTTTGTGGGAAAACTTTTTATTTGACAA